TGTATAACCCAAAAACTCATTTCAACTTAAATAAAGTAAGTAATTAGTTCATACCGTAGCCTAATCATCTCTGGTATTTTGAAACAAACAAACACAAAAATGGCCGTTGTACAGTTGTACTTAATTACTTCTATATAAAATACACTTGTGGGTTTTATTACAGGTGACACACATTTCAAATGTGTCTCATATGCAATGAGAGGCTGGGCTATTGTACTGTGTAGACTCCCAAGGAGAGTCTGTACTCATCTCTACCCTTTTCCTAAAGAAAGACTATCTGTGAAGCCATATTTTTTGTTCTCTTAATTGGCAAAAGAAAGTACTTTATTTAAAAAACTCCAGAGAATAAGTTACTTCCTACAGAGGCTCAAAGGATATTAATAAAGAAAAGTCAGTATCATTTCTAGAATTTCTGCAATGTTTGGTTTTGCCCTTGGGTCTGAACAGTTCTTGTTTGCATACATGTCTACTTAAGAATTACTCCTGGTGATCAGGGCAGCCTGATGAAAATCCTTCCAGATGAATGTAGCCACTAGAGCAAAAAATCTTGCTACATCTCTAATGTAAAGGGAAAAGGGACTTTTTAACAACTGTGTAATTATAAGTTCTAGCCTTAAAGGAACTTTCTTGGCTTAGATTTCTTTCACCATCCCCCTTAGATCTTAATAATAAAAAATATATGCCAAGAAACTCATGATGCAAGCCAAGGTACTGCACATGATCTTAGTTCTTGCTCCCCATGGGGTTGTGCATGTAGTGGGACCAAGATTGGACACAATACGAAGAAAATGCACAGTGCAGTGTGATTGAGATGCACCTATCTTAGGGAAACTCACAAACCCATTCTTTATTCTTTGTAAACGGGTAGGCTCCCACCATAGGTTCCGAAGCTTCTAGGCCAATCTGACTGTCAACCCAAAAAGAAGGATCAACCTCCATTACTAAACATCCAGGTTATTTCCTTGGCATGAGCTCACTGACATGTCAGGGACATACCTCAAAGTTCTTTGAGTGATAACTGATATTACAATACATTTCTAATATCCTTTCTAATATCTATATATTTCAATATAGAAATCTAAATGCAACTGAAAAATCCCCCAATTTGTGACAGGTTCATGGATATCATTCATTTTAGAACTAAGACCAACATTTTTTTCTGATGTTTGATCTGGAAAAGCTTCTCCCTGAGCTTCCTGGGTCATGTCAATCCATTCAAATATAGTGTTGAGACCCCTGTCAGTTGTGGACATCCACTCACTTAGTGATGTCTCACACACAAGAAGCACTCAATAAACATTGGTTTTCCCGAATGGAACCAGCATTATTGGAAGGAAAAATGGAGTAAACAGTAGAGTTCTAAATGAACTTGAAGGGAGACTAATAGATCTTAAGTATATTTTTAAAAGACCAAGCAGAAAAAAAAAAGTGGGTTTTGATACAGCTTCCCAAGGGAAATAGTAGAAGTTTCATTACTCAGGGCATTTTAAACTAGAATAGACAAAACATTAGTAGGGTATGTTTAAATAAAATATGCATAGTCCGTCTGTGAATTAGTGTTTACTTTCAATATAATTGTAAGTGAAGCAACACTGTAATGGGAATTTTTCATACACAGAAAAGCTATGGCTACTATGTTTCCACATCGACCATATGTTGCACATATTGGTTGGTGTGGATGTGTATCCCTACTGCCCTCTAGTGGATGAAATGTGAGTCCTACCTGATCACACAGTTCTAACAAGCTTCTATAGGGGTATATCAATCCTTAATCATTTAGGGTAGAAAGAAAATAGCTGTGTTGATGCATTTTCCATCAAATTATAAAATTGAAGGGCATTAAAAACAACAGAGTTAAACTGTGTAATTAAGACTGCCATTTAATGTTTGTTCACACACGGTATTCATTTCTGTGTATCCCTGCCAAAGATTCATTGTGTAATGTTGTCCTCACATGACATTAAAAACACCAGTTCCCTGGAAAATGTAAAAAAGAAACCATGCTGCCTTGAAATACATAGAGTTTACTTTTGGAAACAGAAAACTAATACAGACACAGTAAGATAATTTGAAACACAAATAATGGCTAGGAGAAACTTGAAAACCAGTACTGCTCCTTAAATCTGAGCAAGCATATTAGCAATCTCTGGATGTGCTGGCTGAACCTCAAAATGGGCTTCAGAAAAGGAAGCTGATTCGAAGAATGGCTGACTAATAGGACAGGAAAATAAGTTGAAACACACATTTGGTGTTTGGATATGTGTATATATATGTATATATACACATATATATACGTATATAAATATGTATATGGGGATTAAATACTGGGGATTGAACTCAGGACATTGCCCTTGCGAGGCAGGTGGCAGCACCACTGAGCTAAATCCCCGGCAGGATATATATTTAATACTGTCACATGTTGGTTGCTTTTCAGGTGTAGAATCCAATAAAGAAAGAAATGGATCTGTATAGCTGTTTAGCATTTTGTTACTAAGACACAGGATAAATATGAAGGTAGTTTTCTTTGTATAATTTTAATTATTTTAAAGGATTTAGACTTTAATTGTTAGCATCACACTTTGCATGTTAGCTACTTCTCCTAAACTACAAAGAAACAACTGCACAATCTGTGTTGCCAAAACAGCAGACATATCATGTAGAACACATGAAATTTGAATGGAGAGAAATGTATCATATGTCTGTTGAGCGTAGCAAGTCAATGGCTCTTACTACAAATGTAGGGCAAGAAATTAATTCTTTTTTTTTTTAAATTTTGAGAGTTTTTTCATTTGAAAGTAATCTTAATGCTATTAAATTCACAAATATGCTAATTTAAATACCCAATCCTATTTTATCTAAAACATACATTGCAAACATACAAATATCTATTCTCTCCACATGTCAGTGCCCATTTGTATCATGGTTTGAAATGGGGAGAATAGATTTATTCCCCTTTATCTGCAAGTGAGTAGGTGTTTCTTTACAGTTAACTTTAGCAAAATTCATACAAAATAGTAATTAACAATGATCTTCACTTGTTAACTCACAAGGAAACACCTTCAAAACTGCATTTTGTTAAAGTTTCTGTACTAAAGTGTAGAAAAACTGAACTACACAAATATTGAAAAGTTAAAAATTCCTTAATTTTTTATTCCTGGTACCACTACCACAATTTAAAGGGCAATATACTTGATGTAACGAAAAGAAAAAGAAAAAGACAAAGCTACAACAGATAAAAGACCTTAGGAATGTACATCTAATTGACACTACACTGCATTACTCAATAGCTGCACTTTTTGCAAACTGTGGCTATGACAGTCCTGAACCAGAAGGGTTTCCTGTTTAAGCTGCAGTAACTTTTCTGACTATGGATCATCGTTCCTTCTGTGGCAGATTTTTACAGTTCCACTAATGCATTCGGGATGACTGTCTCAAAGTAACCTGCAGCTTTCCTGACAACTCCTCGCTCTCTCTCCTGCTAAGAATTGTAGCCCTTTTCTGTTGTTTTTTAAAACCTTCTGCTCCCATATCCACCACTTCCACCACCAGATCCATAACCACCACCATAAGGACTACCAGAGCTTCTTCCACCAAAACTGCCCCCTTTCATGGGTCTGTAATTTGATTGCTGTTGACCACTATAATTTCCAAAGTCATTATAGTTTCCACCACCACCATAGTTACCACCACCAAAATTTCCTCCTTCATTGTAACCATCATATCCTCCTCCTCCACCATATCCACCACCCTGATTTCCATATCCTGGTCCACCACCACCATAGCCTCCTCTACTGCTGTAACCAGGACCATTGCCACAGTTTCCACCATCACCTCCAAATCCATTATATCCACCATCACCTCCTCCGTAACTACCTCTGCTGCTACTACCTCCACCACCATAGCCTCCTCTTCCACCAAAGTTTCCACCATGGCCAAAATTCCCTCCACCACCTCCCAAAGTTTCCTCCATGACCCATAAAGTTGCCAGATCCACCTCCATGACCTTTTTGTGATCCAGCAGACTGCATCTCTTGTTTAGAAAGGGCCTTTTTCACTTCACAATTATGCCCATTAATACTGTGGTATTTCTGAACAACAATTTTATCAACTGTGTCGTGATCATCAAAAGTTACAAAAGCAAATCCTCTCTTTTTCCCACTCTGCCTATCTTCCATAACTTCTATGATTTCAATCTTGCCATACTTTTCAAAGTAGTCTCTCAAATTATATTCTTCTGTATCTTCTTTAATACTGCCAACAAAGATTTTCTTCACTGTTAGATGGGTACCAGGCTTTACTGAATCCTCTCTAGAAACAGCTCTCTCACTACACGCCCATCAACTTTGTGTGGTCGAGCACACATTGCTGCATCCACCTCTTCAACACAAGAGTAAGTCACAAAACCAAAGCCCCTGGAGCGTTTTGTTTGGGGATCTCTCATTACCACACAATCTGTGAGTGTGGCCAATTTCTCAAAATGTTCTCTTAAGCTATCATCTGTAGTTTCGAAGCTCAGATCACCAATAAACAGCTTCCTCAACTGCTCTGGTTCCTTTGGATCATGGTCCTCCTCCCCCCGGAGGCGGCGACGGCTGGAGTCGGGCTGGGGGTGACTGGGCGGCGGTTTTACCTCCATTTTGAGCAAGAAATTAACTAATTCTTTAAGAGTCAGAAGTTATTGGAAGCTGGTAATATGTGAGTAGGTGTACACTTGAGGCAAGGAGGATTTGCAGTGGGGTTGGCTCTGAGAGCTTCATTTGAATAAGTGACAGTTTTTATGGTACACAATTTGGCATAGAAATGATGGTGTAGCAATCAAAGGTAGATTCTAGAGGACCTCTTGTCAATTTAAAAGAAGTGAGAGACCAACTCAGGTAAAGGTATAAAGTAACAGGAAACCTCTTATTACCTGAGTGATCGAGAAGAAAATCTGCCCTGAAAAATATCTTGGAAGCTTTATTTTCATCTCCATCAGATTTACTGTATAGCATTTAGCATCTCTATAGATAGATGACTGGTAGCCCCAGGAGAGTTGGGAGCAGGGCGTATGGGCCACAAGGAGGAAATATAGCCCATTTCCTGGTTAGTACCACGGACAGAGCTGTCAGTAGCAAGAAACATCCTTGGAGTTAGCCTTGGTGTTAAAGAACTCAAAGAAACCAGTGTTGCATTTTAAAGGTGCTCCTTATCTCTATTATGATTGGCAGTGGGGTTGGGACTGTGTGCTGCTGCATCCTCATAGGGCAGTCATTGGACCTGAACATGACTAGCTCTGAATAAAAAGGTGTCTCACCCACCTGTGCACATGGAGAAAGGAAAAGTTGATAGAGGAGAATAACATCTCCTTGACCTTTCTCTGTCACTTCTCCGAGTTTTGAAAAACTCACAATACTTTAAGGAACAATACCTAGCCTTTCTGATGACACAATGAATTCCTGTGCATTCCAATCTTAGAATCTGTAGGGCATGGAGACTGCTCTGTGGCACAACTAGAGAAGGAGAGTAAGTAAAACTTCCAACTTTCAAAGGAAGTCAAGAACCTCTGTCCCATTTCCTATTACAGCAGACTGCAAATTAAATCTCCTTTTACTTCTTGGTTCTGACTTTTATAAGGTAAAAGTCAGTATTCAATTCTGTAGCTGAACTACAGATTCTGAGATGAGAACCCTCGCCCTCACATCTGAGCAATGAGTAGGTCTCCTGCCCTGATGCAGAGAACCAATTTGATGAAAGAAAGCATCCTGGCACAAATTATCTGGCATTAAATCTTACTGTCACTTGCTAAGAAATTTGAGTCAAGGCTTTTCTCATTTGATTGTTAACAAGAAATTTATCATTTTTAAAAGAACTTGATTGGCAGAGAACTTCTTTTTTTTAATCCATTTTTAGGGTTTTCCTTTCATTTTTTTTTGTTTCTTAGGCTTTTATGTTCACAAAAGAGTTTAGAGAGAGTACAAGGTAGGATGACATCTAGACTTTATGCCTGCTCACTACACATGTTCACCAAATGGTAAAGTCCTCACTTTCAACCCTAGCAAGACAAGATGAGCTCTATCTGCCCAGCAGCCTTTCAGAGGCATTAAGGGTAAGAGAGAAAGTAAGTAATTCACTGTGCGTCCCCATTTCTATAATGGGGAAGGACGTCTTGATACATTTACAATACTCCTCTGGGGATATTTCATCAGTTATACCTAAACTCTAATGGACAATAATTGATTTGAACTTTCCACTTAGCACAGAGCTGTAAACAGCTTCACTGCAGACGGCAGTGATGAGCCGACGTTTTGTAAAGTGGAGAGAGATTCAGAAAACTTTTGTACTAGGTCAAGCCATAGCCTAACAGCTTTTGTATCCAGGAAAGAAACAGTTTGTCCTCCTGGTTTTAATAGCTGGGCTAATAGAGTTTCAAGCCTGCAGTAGGTCTAGGTTATCTTTTGAAGGCATTGCATTTTAACCCCTCACTATTATGGTGGCTTATATCCCAGCCATAAAGATGCACTCCTGATTTAGACATACACCAGGACACACTGAAAAACATAACTTTCTGAATGCTAATTTCCTGGTAAAAGAAAAAAAATTAGACATTTAAGTCATTTCAGGACTACTTTTTTTTTTTTTTTTTTTTTAACTCTTTGTAGTTGGTGGAATATTTCCTCTGGGAAAATATTCCCTGTTCCCCAGTGTCCTTTATCTGGTTGATGTTCCCTGTCCCTCTTGCCCACCCCCTCACCTTACTTTGTATCTGGTCATATCTTAGCATACTCTCCCATGGAATGTTCCAGAAGGTCAATCTGCTGCAAGACACGGACTGAGCATGAGTGACACAGCTGCCTTCTGCTGTCCCCTCTCTACCTCTGCATAACATATTAGTAATGATGTTCAGAGGAATCTCTACTCTCTTTAAATCAGGTCTTCTGTCCCCCTTAGCCATTGCAGAAAAGGGTAAAGAATTAAGAGAAATGAAAGACTGCATTTCACTCAGACCACTGCATTTTCTGATCAGAATGTGGCTTTTCTACCTTGTCCCATGCTCCTAGTGATTCCTTGCAATGGGATTCAAGGCTTATCTGGTAGCCACTCTTAGATAATACCTAAAGGGCAGAAGCCCCCTTGGAGTTGTTGCTGCCACTTCTCTGATATTAAAGATCTATAAAACTTGTGTTTATGAAGTAGAACCTTATATAATAACCAGTAAGAACTTTGCAAGTCATTTTAGTATGGTGTGTGAGGAACACAGAGCACAAAGGTAACATTTTATGAGTATTACTCACATTATGTGAATTTCACATGGAATATGAATTTTCTGACACTTTAGCTGATGAGATTATAAGAGAAAAAATTTTCATTGTCAGGAAATAGATTTACCCTCTATTCCAACTTTAGCTCTTTCTAGAAATCTACAGAGAAAGGACACAATTGGATATATTATAATATATTGTCCAGATTCTAAAGTGCATTAAAATCAAACTAAATAAAACTTGCTTTATTTGTTCATGAAAATAAAATTCCGTAGATTATTTTAAAAAATTTGTTTATTAGTACATGTTTGCAGTACGTAATTACATTCCTTATGGGGAGATGATACATGTACATAATATATCTTAATTTCTTTCATCCCTTTTCCCTACCCACCTTCCCCTTTCCCTCATCTTTTTGTCCCCTTCCCTTTTGCAAAAGATTTGTCTTCCTACTTCCTATTATCTATCTTTTATTTTGCTCTATTTATATTTTGGATTTCTCATAGAAGAGACCCCAAGCAATATTTAAGCTTGTGTGTGTATTTCACTTAACATTATGGTTTCAAGGTGCATCCATTTTCCTACAAATAACTCAAGTTTATCCTTGTTTATGGCAGAGCAGTATTCCATTTTGTATAGATACCACACTTTCTTTATTCATTCATCTGTTGATGAACATATAGGCTGCTTCCCAGATTTAGCTACTATGAATTGTGCTGTTTTAAACATGGGTATGCATGTGTCACTGTAATCTTTAATTCTTTTGGGAAGATACCAAAAAAGGAATGGCTGGGTCAAATGGAATTTTTGTTTTCAGTTTTTTGAGGAATCTGCACACTTATTTCCATAATGGTTGTACTAGTTTACATTTTTTTCAACAATGTAGATTCTTGACACCAAACCCAATTCTGGTTTTGATTATTTAGGTAACTCTAAACAAAGTACTTAACCTCTTAGTTTTTCCATTGCTTATTTGGGAAAAATTATTTATATATATATGCACCTATATACACTGTTCTCTCTCTCTCTCTCTCTCTCTCTATATATATATATATGCACCTATATACAGTGCTCTCTCTCTCTCTCCACACACACACACACACACACACACACACACACACATAGCCAATCACCTTCACCTTCAAAGTACAATTGCTAATTAGTGAAAGTACCTTTCATCTCTCTTGGATAGAATGGAAGATGGAAATAGCTGTTTCTTTCATTTGGCTTTAAAAGACTAGCCCTAACTATGTTCTTCTCTAGACAAATCCTTTTCCCCATTGCCAAGGGGCAACAATTTAATATTTGATCTTTAAAATCAAACATGGCACCTTTAAATTTGACTTGAACAATATTTAAAATTCATTTAGCTTTCAGTTAAATCACCAGGGCTCTCTTTAAGTGTCAAGCTTCCATGCAATATTCTTTAGCCACAAAGTTTCATACAAGGGCACTTAATGACTTTAAATTATTTTATTAATGATCAACAGTTTAACAAATATTAATCTGTAAGGTATTTATATTGCAAACCAATAATGCTGGTGTATCAAGTTGAGCACTCATAAACTTTACTAAACATGAAATGTGATTTAAAAATAAAATGATGACAAGTTAACAAAGAAGTGTATAACTTAAATTCACTCTATTTTATATCAATCTTGGGATTCAAAGTTCTATCATGAACAGAATTGGATAAGCTTAGAGAGAGTTTTGAAAAAAGGTCAAAGAGGGTTGGGGATTTAGCTCAGTGGTTCCGTTGCTTGCCTAGCAAGCGCAAGGACCCGAGTTCGATCCCTGGTACCAAAAAAAAAGAAAAAAAAAGAAAAAAGGCCAAAGATCCTTCCTTTCTTGACTAAAATATTGAGAGGTAACTTGATAATGGTCATCAATAAGAAAATATGTTAATAGATGTTCTTTATCTATAACTCAGATCAAACATTTAAAAAGGGGTTTAAGAAGCTTAAAGGATCTAGTTATAAAATTCTGACATACTTCATAAAATGTTAAATACTCATATGAAATACTATGATGTCTGATTGTAAGGTTTATGAAATACATTTAATCCCTATTTGTCAGTGACAATTTAAGTAAAGTGTTATTAGAAGGAAGGAGAGGTGAACCAAATGAGTTCTAGATTTTGGATTTTTCATAAAGTTAAAATGGATAGTAGTGCTTAACTTGAAATACTCTTTCACAAAAAGCATATGTAGGATACAATGACTGAAATACCCCACATGCTAAGTTGGCTATTACTTTAGGAGCCAATCACACATGAAGCATTTGATCTTCTTATTGATCAGTCTTTAAAAATGCTTGGCAGGGGTCAAGTAAGCACATCTAACACCTATAAAAAAATAAAAGATTTCCTGTTTGCTTTGGAATTTTCTGATTAAAAAAATTACAATAGTCAGCTGTGTGTAGCCATATTATAATTGTTATATAAAAACCTCAATTCATGGGCATATCTTTTAAAACAATGTATTATTCAACAGCCTTAGGTAAACATGCAATTTAGGAGTGGAAAAGATGTGCACAGAGACAAGAAATCATAGACACAAAGCATGGTGAATTTTTGTGCCATGCACTTCACACCCCAACTCATCTCTTGGGGAAACTAGAAAAGGGGAGGAACCATCTCTATTATGATAATTCACAAAGGGAGGCTACAGAGATATGCATGCAAAGTCTCTCTCCACCTCCCCATTTACAAGCCAGAATTTCAACTCTGAGACACTGAGTCCCTTCATTTAGCCAATTAGTATTTCCAACTTCATGTAATGCACGCCAAGAAGAAGAAGAAATAGAAGTGCTGACATTCACTGCTTTGAAATTTGCTATTCTAATGCCAAAGTTGCCTCTTGAGTAATTTCCAGAATGCATTAACATGGGAGGAAAACTCTATTCCTAAAGTAAGGGATTACATGATACAGGGGAGCCCTCGTCAACATGTCACAATTGCACAGAATCTCCTTGATCCCCTGCAAGCTCTTAACAGTTGTAGCTAGGATTGGCTTGAGTTTATGGTCCTCATCCAGGCAAAACCTAGGAGGTCTTCCTGAAGTAAAGAGGCCAATTTAATGTATTTAGTAAGCAAAGTATGGCATATTTTCTAGACCATTGTGTTGGCCCACTCCTTTAACTGTTGTACTGAAAAAAGCCAGTCAAGGTCCAAAGCAAACTACAAAGGTGATTAGAAAATACAGTGTGAGGAATGTTTAAATTAAAAAATATTTATAACAGTAAAAGACATTGTTATTATTCAACCTTAGAATTTTCCCCTTTGCTTCAAACACACTTATAGTATTGTTCTTGTCATTTTCCAAGGTAATTCTGAGAGTCTTATCTCTGAGTGTCTTTATGAGGTGTGATAGAAAATATGGTGAATGCTCCTGCTGAGTGCCATCCAATAGAAAAGCAGGTTCATAAAAACATTAATGTGTATCCCTGTCCACCTTAGTCCTAGGATCTGGGGGCATGAGATTTCAGACTCTTCCCCAAAGTCAAAATGACTGTGAAAGGTAAACATTTTGAATCAATCCAGGACATTAAGGCAGGCATGACAGCACAATTAAAGAACAAAAAAGGACTTCTAGAACTGCTTCAGATAGTGGCAAGAATGATGGGATAAGCGTTCTGAGTGATGGGGAATATTCTGAGTGGGATTAATGGCACTGTGCATTTTACTTTAATAAACTGTTTTTTAATGTAAACATATGCTGAATTTTTTTGTCACATCTTGTAGTTTCTCAATTTAAGTTAGAGTGAAGAATTCTTCAGTTTCTATCCCCTTTTTCTTTTTTTTGTTAATTAAGTTTAAAATCAGTCTTAATTATTTTTATTCAACATACACCCCACACATTTTCCTCAATATTAAGAGCCAAGTTGAAAAATGTTGTAAAGTTGTATAGCTGTATGTCTCTGTGTGTCCTCTTAGGCACATGATTTTGATACTTAGCAAGCAATAAGGAGTTGCTCTGAAATATTCAAAACCATCCTTTCTGCTGATTCTCCTGAAACAGTGGTAGAGATTTTTACTATCTCTCCCTTATTCTCAGCAATGGATTTAGGAGTGGAAAGAATGCACATGGTGACAAGTAATCATACATACAAAAAGCATGGTGAATTTCTGTGCCATATATACCACACACCAATTTATTGCAAAGGGATACTAGAGAAGAGGCAGAACCATTTCTATTAGTTTGTGCCAGTCTGGTCTGCTCAAATTCAGTCATTCTTTGCTTATGATTTTTGCAAGAGGTTTCTGGAATCTTTCACCAAGGCAGTATAGCACAGTGGAGCACTTGGCAGTGATCAAAGACCTCTATGTCCTCATTCTGGTTCATCTCTAAGTTACCTGTATTTCCTTGGACCAAACCACTGCTTCTCTCACTGGGCCTCCTTTTATCCCCATATAAAACATCTGGGTGTTAGCTGAGATGATCCTACAAGGTTTCTTCTAGCTTGTTTTTATTTGTTGCTTTCCCCCTTCCAAAGATTTTCCAAATGGATTCTTTCTCTATCTTTGGCATTTGGCTCAATCTTCTCCCTTCAGTTATTACCTTGACATTTCCCTCAGTGTTGTGGCTCGTGTCTAGATGTCTCCCAAAGCCTTAGGTAGTTATAGATGGTGATTTTCGGAGGTGGCTTTTCTGGAGTGTGTGACGCTGGGATCAAGGGTGTGTGACTACTAAATTAGTTCACTGATTGGTTTGGCATAGTTCTAGGTTAGATTAAGGGTGCCCCACCCTGGGTGAGCATGCTATCTGCCCTATGGGTGGACAGCTTGGCTAAGATATAAGGGATAAAAAGGGGCTCTGTTTGTCCCTTGCTGATTGCTGTCTTCGGCCTGCCATGAACTGTTTCTCTGTGATGCTCCTCTGTCATTCCACCCAGCCTTGGAATCAATCAATTATGAAATAAAACCTCCACAAGCCATGAGCCAAATAAACCTTTCCTCTTTCAACTCTGGGTGTTGGGTATTTTGTCTCAGCAATAAGAAAATGTAACTAAGACACTTAGTATCTCCTAAACATGCTGTCCTTCAAATGATCACCTTGGGTCATAATTTTTCCTTTTTATACTCATTGTTTGAGGGGTTGATGTGTTCATTCATCTTCTCTTAGGGTTAAATAAGTTAACTATTTAGTTACCACTTTCTCTTCAGAATATCTCTGATTATATGTTCTGCTAGCACCTCAAAGTCCATACAATAAAGAACATTTCCTTTTTTTTCTTTCATTCTGTTACCCAAATTTTATATAATCATAGTCCACGACCCATTCAATAACCCAATCTTCTACTAAATCTTCTTCTTTTAAAATATACTACAAGGGCCAGGGATTTAGCTCAATGGTGCCACCGCCTACCTTGCAAGCGCAATGTCCTGATTTTGATTCCTGGTACCAAACAAACAAAACTAAAATATACTACTGCTCCTATATAGCCAATTATCAAATCTAGAAATTTTCTTCAAATGATCTTAACCCAAATATAGGTACATATAGTTTTTACTATTATCCTTGACTGATGCCTGGTCACATTATACCAAGGATATAAAGAGTGCTTCCCTACTGCAAACATATTCTCAGTGATTTGATTGTCGTGGTTCCTTCCTCAGTTCTCCAGTGGATTTCTGTCCTACTTCAGATCAATTGTGAATTCCAGAGTCCCTGCCCTAAAAGCTCTGTACAGGTTTGTTTGCTCACATAACCTGTCAACAACTGGTACCACCAGGACTTAATTTAATAAGCAAATCACTTTTGCCTCCTCCCAACTGAGAGTCTTTCCCTCTCCAGTCCGAGCTTTTCCTATATAAGCTTGTGTCTATGGAATATCCCTCATGCACTGAAGAACAGCTTTTCTTCACTCAAATTACAACTTAAACTCCACTTATGTCAAGAGATTTCCATGAGTATTACTGGTTAACTGCTAGCCCTCTAAAACAAAGTAAAAACTCCATCTGCCTTTTCATGTGTTTAAAAAAATATATTCTATTTTAAATATATATTTGTATATAACTTACACTGATGGTAGGAAAAAATATAATAGTACCCAATACTGTTTGATTATTTACTGATTTAAACAGGTCTTGATTTCAAATTGCTATTTTAAAAACCCCTCAAACTGTCCTTTATTATTACTTTAAGCTGTATAAAGTCATTTGAGGCTCCTGATTTCTGAGACTTGTCAACTGCTATGTATACTGTAAGTATTAGTAAACACTTGTTGAACTGGATTGAGGAGGGAACCTCTTAAACAATCTACTCATGGAGGTGTGAGTAATCAGATGGCACTTACTAACATAAATATCCCTTAACAGCATTTGAGTGCAATAAAAAAATAATGAAATGAGAATTTCTCAAATTTCACTTACCATCTTGATTATTTAATATTATATTGATAAAATATATTTTTTAAAGTAGCTTTGATTTTAAAAGACTAAATTTACATATTGAGAATTAGGTACCAGCAAAGTCTCATCGTCTGATTTATTTCTCTGTAATTTATCTGTCTTGAGAACATCAGCAGGAATACACCAAAGAAATATGTTCCTCATGGGATCAACTATATAAAAAGACAGAACACATCATCAGCACAAAAATCATTATCCATCTAATTTCTCCCATTCTAGGTGGCTCCAGTGAGCCCTTGATCATTACTGACTAGGGTTAAAATAGGCCTTAATGGATTAATTAAGCCAAAGCAGACTGCACTGCAGGCCAGAGAGGAGGAGGTCCTGACACAGAAGAGGCAACACCTCTGTTCTTTCACTCACATGTGCAAAGCTTGGCTATCCCCAAGTGCTCTACATTCATGCTGTAAAGAAGTCTCCAAAAATAAGATTTGGCATCTGTTGTTGGGGTCTTCCTCTTAGCATCAAGTACTTGGGTGCTTGTCAGATTTTACCATATAAGAAATATTAAGACTTTCCTTTCTTTTTTTCTTCCAGGATGTGGGGGACAGTTGGAAGAGTGGTAAAGCAGTAGAGGCAGAATGCTCATTTTGGTAATCAAGGAGCACCAAGTAAGGGGATATGTATTGTTTGGATGCCAATATGACTCTGAAAGATGGCCAGGATACACAGGAGTCCAAGAAAGCTAAAAGGAAGAAGTGCCCATAGGCATAAAGTCATGGTGATGGTGGGGTTGTCCAAAGGCAGCTGTTATTATGGAAACCTTGAGAATTGTTCATTTAAGGAGAATTGTGAAGTTCAAATGTAAAAGCAGAAAGCAAGGCAACCCAAAGAGTACAATTTAGGGTCTTGTACTTCTTATAAAGCAAAGGGGTGAGGAAGGAGAGAAAGAAGCCTCCAGCTGCACTGCACTACCATGCCATACTGGCAGTTTATTTTCTCTTTCACGAACCATGTCAGCATATTAATGACATGAATACATACTTTCATGATGGAGACAATCAGACTTTATCAGACACAGAATTAAATATTCAGGTAATAGAAGAAAACAAGCAAATACCAGAAATACTTCATGCTGGAAATGGTGAGGCTGACTAAAGGTGACTGTGTAATTATTAGACCAAGCACACCCTATGAGTCCAGAAAATATCTATGGAGCTACATTGGGACTGGTGATCTTGTTTCCCCCAAAGAGAAACTCCTTGTTTTCAAGGAGCCCAGAGAAGATGATCTGAGTGGATTTTACTCTCTATTTCGGAATCACAAATAGGACAGGGTTCCTCTGGGTAACAGTAGGCCTCAATATTTTGGGTCCTAACGTCTAAATGCTAAGTAAGCCAGGTGGTGGCACATGCCTGTAATTCCAGCCCTTGGGAGGCTGAGACAGGAGGATCACTGCAAGTTTGAAGCCAGCCTGGGATATATAGCGAGACCCTGTCTTAGGAAAAAAAAAAGAAGAAGAAAAAAACCTAAGTAATTGTAATGAAAAAGAAATCCCAGCTATTTAAATGGTTGTCCCCAAAGAGTTTTAAGACAGCACTACAAGTTCTCTATCCCCTAGTAGATTTCATTTGTGATTCCTGCACTAGGGGAAAAACTTGCTCTATGTTCAAACAATAGTATACTTCTCAAAAACAAATGCCATTTCTCACTATAAAGAACAGTATTATGGAGTTGAAAGGGTTTTCAACAATAGTGATCATTTAATATAGTCATTTTGTAAATGAGGAAACTGAGGATTTGCCAATGGTCACAGATGTTATTATGCACCTGACAACTTTAGCAGTAATGTGTCCATAGACATATTTGAGGTTATCAGTGACCTAATAGAATTGAGTTCCTAAGCCCTTTAATTTAAATAATTATACACACACATACAGAGAAAGAGACTCACACATACTCACACAAATACAGACAGAGGCAGAGATCTATGTGTATGTACAAAAAATATTGCTGGGCAATAAAAATAGGATCCTGTGTTGTAACATGTCACTATAACATAATATAATAATGTAATTATATAGTTAAAAAGCCACTAACTTAAATTCATTTGTTCATTCAATAAATATTAAGCTCTAAATATGTGCAAGTATAGGAAAAAATATATGACGACATAGTTTGTGCTGTTTTGAAGAGTTTACAATATAGTTATTTTACATGTGCAATGTATCCATCTAAAATAATCAAGCTGACAAACTCATTCCCATTGGGTTAATACAAATCATAATCCCTTAATTTTGAATCACAAGAGAAGGTATAAACTGTATTATATTTTAACCAGATATTGCAAATAACCTGAAATGTTTCTGGTACTCCAAATATAAAGGTTGAGTCATGATTTTGAGCTACTTTGTGCCTTTAGACATGCTTCAGAACCCACCCTAAGTCCACTTCTCTAACTTAGTAACTCTGAAATAGTTCTCCAGGCCTTGCTCCTACCTTGCCTAGTCTCTAAAAGTTTATTTAGGTCAAGGTTGGAAACAGCACAGGGAATGAAGTAGAGAACCTGGCTGAGCCATGCTTCTATGAGCTCGACCATACTGTTAATCTCCAAGTTGTTTTTCTTACAGTTATATTTTAGTATATGGCAGAGAACAATGATTTTCTTTTAATGAACAAAAATTGAGTGCCTCAAACCTAAAGACTATGATTGGCTCAAGTAATCTAGTTATTAGAAAAATTACTAATAGGAAACTGAAGACTAAACAAAGTGACCATGTTACCCATGCATTCCTCTTCAAAAGAGGAGAGAAGAAAAATAACATATGAGTACTTACCATGTTCCAGATACTATGTAAGTATATACATACATATATACATACACACACATATGATACTGGACATATATGTGTATATATGTATATATATATTTATTCTCATTTAATCCTCATAAAAACTTTCAGAGCAGAAGTCATCATTTCCATTTCTTCAGGTAAAAAACTCAGACAGGAAGATTGTGCTTTATCAGACTCAAAAAGCTATAAAGTAATTTATGGCACTTATATTTACATCCAAATCTGTCCATCTACAAAGCCTACTATGTTCTTTGCCAAAATCTGCTAAAGGGAAACCCAAAGATGAAACAATGATGGATGCCACTGGCAATCTTCTTAGCGAATATGTACTATATGGTGCTAAATTACATGCAAAAGACAAATATTAACAAATGTTTTCTGCCACATTTACATTTAAATCTGTTAGCACGAACAATCTAACACTGGACCCACCAAATAGAATATTAATGAAGGGAATTCAAAATGACTCATGTTCAAAGGGATGCCTTTTTTTCAAATTATTGAAGACAATGTACCTGACGTAAAGTTTTCATGCAATTAATGCTTGAAACATAAGTAAAAACAATAACAGAAAATCTCCTGTATGTCTTTTCAAAACAGAAACGCATAGTACACTATCCCCACAAAAATCTGGCCCAATTAATTCTCCATGAATTTATTCTAATAAGTATTTAAAGGTGAGCACATAGTGTGCTCTACTGTCAATCCAGGGTTGGCATTCTCACTGCCTCTACTTATGTTTGCTGCAAAGTGTGGGAAGGAAAAAGGCTTTGAGTTCTTTTTCTACATACAAAGACCATCAAGGGGAGGTCATTTAAATAAAAATCCTGAGTTTCTTTCCTACAGGTAATCTGGGGCATTCAGAGATTCCCTCCTCAGGCCTCTCTGTCCACACAAACACACATCCCACTTCAAATTTCATCAGGTATATCCATACAGGGTAGGAAAAGAAAAGGAAGAAAAGAAAAAACAGGAAAGGATATAAATGAAGAAAGTGGAAGTGGTAGAAAGGTCTAAAGGAAGTAGTATAGTTCCCCAGAGGGCTCCAGAAAGTGAAAGATGAAAAGAACAAGACACTTTCTAGGAACCCAGGGTTGCCTCATTCCATTAGCTCCTGAACTAAAGCATTCTGTGGCCAGGATGATGCCAGAAAGGAAGAACTATGAAAGGGATTGGAAATTGATGCTACACAGCATTCCAGCTCTTTTACACCACTTATAAAAATATTTATTCTATCACTGATTATCAATCATAGAAATTACAAGAAATGCTATCATTTCCAGAATGTATTCAAATGCTAGAAATGGTACATTCTAAGGTTAAATGTGTATGAGTTATTAATTATTATATTGTAGCTTATTATTTATAATTATTATTTTTTATGACACCACAGTCTTCCACTGACACTTGATAATCAAGACTTGACAAATTCCAATTGCTTTGCTAAAGAAACAAAAAAGGACTGAGGTAGATAGGAACAGTATCCCCTAGCAATCAAGGAGAACAAGAGGAGGGAGGGGGAAAGGAAGGAAGGGTCAAGGGAAAAAATAGAAGGAAAAAATGGAAACAAAGCTTTTGTAAATAAGGAGGGAAGAGGGGTTGAAGGAGAGGGAAATGGGAGAAAAGAAGAAGCAAGATATATCATGTACAGTTACAAATTCCCTATGATGAATGTGATCATTATGTATATCTAAAATGTATCAATAAAAAAAGGAAAAAAATAGGACATATGACTTATGCCCCTATATCAATGACAAAAATGTTAGTAGTGTGGCCCTAAAATCCTGGGTATTTATCTAATTTTTCCACAATCAGAAAGAAGATGAAGAAAGCACTGACAGCACTAGTTAGTCCTTTTGAATAAAATTCATAGCCAAGGGTCCAGATATTGGCCCATGTTGGAAAAAGCATTAACAGTAACTTTTGGTGTAAGCTGTACAAGGAAGGGAAACGCAGAAAAGGAAGCAATAGTGCCCCAAATTTCCAGTCATCTTTTACCACATTGACATGGGTTAGCTGAAGGCATGGAGAATAACGGATGTGCAGTTGTCTCTTATACAGACAGCAGCACAGAGAGGGGGAAACCACACGCTTGTATTTTGCTATTGTAAAAGTCCCAGTGGAAACATTAGCACTCAAAGACATTAATGTGGATTTGGGACACTCCCTGAAGGATTTTGATTCCATTAGAAAAAAGAAAAGACAGTGACAGATATAATCCTGCTTTGATATGTTTAATGCCATTTAAAGAGAAACTGCACCCATTTACCTTGGGCCAGGACACCGAGAGTTCAAAAGTGAAATATCATTTCTCAGTGCAAAGAAAAAGCTTGGAAAATATTATGTGAAAATTAATTTGGCATGCATCTTTGAAATTTTAGATTTCTGGGATGAGCAAATGGGTATAGTTTTCTTTTAACTGTTTTTGAACACCATGTGTTGAGAAGAAAACAACAGAATGGCAATTGCTCATCCAAAATGCTAACTTGTGGCATGGCACAGTCAAGATGGCCTGCCACAGCCAAAAAGCAGGTGTATGCTATGCCTCTTACTTCAGTAGCAGGCACACCACATGTCCCTGCATTCGGCAACCTCTTGCATTTGCTTTTGGAACCTTTCAGAGGGGGACAGTAAACATGACTCAACAAAATGTCTAGCTGAGAGGGACTGGCTCTCTGAGCTTGCTGTGAGACAGACTTGCTGAGGGAGAACTTAAGAAAAACTGGAATAATGTATCTACTTTAGAATTCTTTGCCATATCATTTCCTATGAACTAACACTAGGGTGACTGGTTTCACATCATTTTGTGTGGATGAAATTTAGGATTGAATCAAGTTGCAGAGTAATGGTGAAGATTTTGTGTGACTGGAGAAAATCTATCAAATCAGCGACCTCATTTGGACTGAGGACACAGATAATGGCTGATACAAATTATATGCATCTAACCTAAAAGCTCAGAGTAAAAAAAAAAACCCTCCCCCCAGGGCCACTGATAAGTTTAAACATAGGATGCACAACATTATTTAATGTGCAGGGATGCCAAAGCTTCCTTAATCTGGCATTATGAATCTGATTTGTGTTTATTCTAGGACTTACTTTTTTTTTTACACAGATATAGGTCCCATTCTACTATTCAACAGTCCTATAACAAAGGGAGGGAGATAGAAAAAAAAATATTTTCTTGCTTTCTCCTCATTAAAAGTCTGACAGAGACTGAATTAAAACTCATGACCATTTCTAAACTCAAGTGAGGTGCCACATGGAAACAAAATCCAGGGTACCTGTGTTACAAGATCTGAAGGTAAAGAAGTAGATGACAGTCTATCTGGGTATTTAAACATAAAGAAATGGAGAGTCTCTGCTTTATTCTATGATTTTAGTTAACAAACCAATAACTATTGATTAAAAGTTGACTGTGTAAATGCCAAGAATGGGAAAGAAGGTGGGTATGAGGGCCACAAAGGGGGTCCCAGGACTCAGAAAGGCTGAGGCAGGAGGATCACTTGAGCCCAGGAGTTCAAGGTCAGCCTGGGCAACACAGAGACTCTATCTCAAAAAAAAGTGTGAAGAAGGATGAAACACAAAAGTTCTAATTTGAAAACAAAGCATCTTTAAATTTTATAGATATAAGGGCCGGGGATTTAGCTCAATGGTTCTGCCACCTGCCTCGCAAGCACAAAGACTTGAGTTCAATCCCTGGTGGCCCCCCAAAATTTTTTATAGATATAATTGAGTGATATTCTCTGTAGAGTGGGTAGGTATTTATGGATTTTAGAAAAAATAATTTATTGTCAAATATTCACATGTCCTTGTTCACTCTGTTCACTCAAATGACATTTACTTTCTGCCTTTTATCTCTCATGATGCACTCTACATCATGAAGGGGATAGCCTTACGTATAAACACAGCCTCTCAACTTATGAAGCTTACTGTGCAGTGGCAGGAGGGATGTGCCACATACAGACACACTCTAGTATAAGGCAGTACGCAGTCAGTCACATGAGACATATGAATAAGTGCTTTAACAGTAATTAGAAGAAACAAGTCTCATAACTGTTATGGAACAAACCTTCCACAGACATATTAAAAGGCTTAATGCACAAAAAGAAAGGGATCTGTACTAAGGTTTAAGTCAACAAACCATCGCCATGCATGGTGGGCAAGGGAGTGACTACACTGTGTGGGAAGGGACATGCACTCTGTATCCATATCACCTCACACTGTGTGTTCCCATCATTAATGTTTACCAAAAGCATGCATGGATAAAAATGAAAGTTGAATGATAGGACAGGTCAGTGTATCTACACCAGACTTAGATATTTAGATGATTATTGATACCCTGTTAGATGTTGGTGTTACAGTGTCATTATTTTCCTCCCATACTAGTGTGAAAAGATCATTCATTTACCCATTCATGAGTGATGGGAGGCATAATTCAGGGCTTCATCATTCTACATAAAGCAAACCCTTTGCCAGCGTAAAGTACCCTGGTAACTGGTGTCAAAATGTCTTTCAGAACATAACAAATGAATTCTCCCCGATACCTCCTAAGGATGATGACTTAGCACTCACTTTCCCTAGAAGTAATGGCTACAGAGTTGAAGAGGGGCAGATAATCCAGGATCTTCCCAGAAGAGACATTCCCACAGCAGGCAGTAAGAATCCTAGCTTCTAGTTTTGGATTTTTTTCTCTAGAATCACATTCTTTTTCTGTTTTCATTCCTCTTGAATACTCTGGCTTTTTGTACCTTGAGTAGTAGATTTCTGTAGTTTGTGTGTGTGTGTGTGTGTGTGTGTGTGTGTGTGTGTGTTTAAGAGGATGGCATTACTGATGTGCTTTTGTAAAGGATTCAAGGTTGTCTGCATCCTCAAAGAATGTAATTGAAAAAAATATTGTTTCTTTGATTCCATGGTGCTTACATTTGGGCAGAGTTTTCTTTTTTCATCCTCAAATACAGTGTTTGAGACAATATGCCCACAATGGAAAGCTTTTAGAGCGTCAAAAGTGTAGATGAACCAAATCAGAATACATCTCTATGAAAATGGAGACACAGGCACATGGAAAAAGTTTAGAAAAAGATCCAGGCAAGAGGTAATCCCACTGAAAGGTGAGTGACACTGTATATCTCCTGATTCAAGGTGAGGTGGAGTAGGATAGATAGGAAAAGAGACGACTTCTCACTTCTTAAATGATTCGTTGTCTCACCTACAGCTGTGCAAGTTGGAGCTGTATTATTAGGGGGCCCAGGTCACTTGATTAGCACATACCATATATTCTGACTGCATGAACCTATATGGGACTAATACAGGGAAATCTAGGCTTAACTAGAGTTAAGATGAAGTGGTCAACAGTTATTCACTTAAAGAGAACTGAATAGGTCAGTCTGCAGGGTTTCCAGCAGTGTTTCCTGTTACTATCATATCAAAAGTTGTTCATTTTATTGGAAAAAAACACTTTAAATTAATTAAAAGCCCTATAAACCATAGAAACAAAAAGGGAGGAAGATAACAATGATCCTTTTTGTACACTTTAGTGTATGCCTGGAACTTTTTTCTTTATATGTGAATTTCACTATATATTCTGTCTCATTTGATCCTCATATCAACTACTGATCTTTTGCCCATTTTCTATGGTTTAGAGATTAGGTGAATACTCTCTGGTCATGGAGCTAGCAGTGGGTAACCCTGCTAATTTTCAAACCTTAGCCTTAGCACACAAAGCCTGTGTTCCTCACCCTGCCTTGCCAGGCCAGGCTTCATGTGTTTGTTTATGGCATGAAATCAGTGTCGGGGGAATTCTGCCCAGCATCTCTGGTTAGCAGAGTGAATCGCTTTTATCATTTGCCAACATGTCATGGAAAAAACCAAAACAACAACAAAAAAATTAAAACTCCTGGCTCTAGATCTCCTATCAGCCACCTGAAGTTTGGTTTGGTTATATATTATTAGAATATCTGACAATCTTAGAAAAAGTCTAACAAGAATAAAGAATTTTTCATTTATGCTAGCTCTTACGTCAGTTAAAAATCTCCTGTTCCTCCATAACAGTGTGCCTGGGGAATGCTCTCACTGCCAAAAACTCATCTGAAAATGCTGAAAAGTCAGAGTTTGGGTCCTATATACTGACTAATGTTACCAGCTGTGAGACAGCTTGAACATCAGAAATATGATATTTCCCACTACAATTTGATTTAGTTAAAATGTGTTTGAAGTTCACCCTTTTATTAACTAGAATTACCACCTCCTGTAACTGGAGGGCCCCTGAGAACAGACTGCTAGAGCAATTCAACCTCCCACCCGCCATCAGTGCATTTCCTGGCAACAAATACTATTAAATTGATAACTACAGAAATAGGTCAAAATGTCTTTTCAATAGTTGCTAATGTTCCCCTAATGCTCCATAGCCTCCTTTTGATTCTTGTGCTAACATTTTGTCTCTGATTGCAGAAGCAATAACTAGTAAAAATTGTCTAGAAGAGGGAAAAGTTGGCTGTGGTGGTGGAAGGAGGCCCTTTTATCTTAGGGGTTGCCATAATTATAAAGAAAATCTAGACTGCCCTAAGGGCCTGAGGGTGCCAAAGTCATTTTCACTGTTGAGTTGGATGACCTGGAAGAAAGGCTATGTGCCATCTAAGCCTTAATACCTTCATCCGCAAAAGGAGGAGACTCCAGACGAGTGAGTTTTCAAATCTGCAAAATGCTCAGAGTTTATAGGAATAGAATCCCTTACTTATCACAAAGAATTTGAGTTTTAAACTTATTTACACTGATCTCATAACCTTACCCATTTGGGCCTTGACTACCCAAGGTAGAAACTTATTTTCATATTTTTAAAAAGATAGGGGCAATTTTTTTAAATAACAAAGACCCTGTACAATCATCATAGGTCTGACTATTCACTATGTAAACCTACATTTCCTCTCTCCCTCTCAGGGCAAAAATTTGCTTTTCTGAGTTCACATCACATGTGTGAGTAAAGCTAACGAAAGGGGGTGAGGTATGTACAGCTGCATTGGGAACATGGCTAATTCAAGGCAAACTCGTTTGGCTCAGAGGGAACAACCAGTTACTTCAGGCAAGCAGCAGAAGCCCACTTGTTAATGAGGTATATTTCAATTTCCAATACTTTGTCAACATTATAGAATGTTTAATCCATTCATATCTTGATGCTATAATCACTTCAACAGAATCAGTATAGGGCAGTTTTGAACTGAAGTTGGAGAAAGGATGGAGACAATTTTGGAGCCAGGTAAGCTGAGGAATCAGATTGATATAGGACCCTGGACTCTGCTGACGGAGGGGAGAGTGAAGGGTGTGGCCAGGACTGAAAAGAACTCAGTCTCCTTTACAGTTTTTGCTGGGGAGCTTATCAAGAACTTGCCAGAAACACTAAAAAATCCCTTGGGGGATGACATAGTTTATCAGTTATGCTTTTGGCCCTTCTGCTATGCCACAGTTATGTTGTTGCTAGGTAGGAAGTCAGCATTCACTTAAAGCCTAGAAAATTTCGGTCTACCTGGATCAGGCAAAGGAGGGCTAACCTCATCTCCTATACTTTAAACTCAGCAACACTAGCCAGTCTGGCATTTCTCTATCAGATTCTTTCTGCTTTCCATCCAGTCATAGGTGAGGGAGAATACATGTGTGGAAGGGATGTGAGGGAGAAGGAGTATGGGAGGTAAAGAACTTAACCCTTTCTGAGCTTTCTAATGAGTGAGCCTTTGCATCAGGTATCTCTCTGTATCCTCCCACAGTCCTGGAGGATTATTTAAGTGACAGGAAGTATTTTATAGGTTCAAAAAGCCCAACTAGCTCAAGGTGGTGGCTTCTTCTGGAACAGGACTCTTCCCCCAATGCTGACAACGTATTATTTTTTTTTTAACTTCTCTCAGTTACAGATGCTTGAAAAATGGTTTACAGACCAGTCATGCATAATTTACCTTTCAAGAATGGGCTCCCCAAATATTTCAAAACATACCTACTGGGAGTCAGGACATATCGATTCTTCTGTTTAGGGTATGGGTCTAACAAACTGTCACTGTGACAGGCCCATTCACCTCCTTAGAGTCTGGTCCAGACCTAACAGTTCTGTAGTTCATACTCTCAAGATGTAGGCAAGGGTGAGTGTGTATGTCTGAAACTCAGCAAAGAATTATCTCACTAGCTGTCAGATGTTGGCTAAAGAGAGAAACTCCATCCTTCTAATGCTAGTTGCTTTTTGGGTAAGAAGGATGATAGGATTGATATAGGCTGGAGGCAGAAGGGACAGTGAGGTTAAGGACATAGGACTAACAACCAGCAGTGGGATTGGTGGGAGCCCAATAGGTTCAGGAGTCCAGGGCCAGGGCTTGCAGATCAGCTTATTTTCTTAGAATACACTGATGTGTTTGATTATACGATGGTTGGGAAGTACCAAGACTAAGATAAACTGAATTCTAGATGTGCCTTTCAAAATCTCAATCTAATGGCTGATGCTTATCTTAATGATTTGGTAAAGGGCAAAGACCTTACTATCCCAACATTAACTATTTCTCTCAAGTATTAACCTCTAACCTTTGTTTTTAACAAAACAAACCAAAACAAAACAAAAACAAATACTTGACTAAGACAACTACAGAGTTTTTGGTTATAAACAAGATCACTATGATCATAATCATCTTGAGGTGTATGGAGGAGGTGAATTCTTTGAGACATACTATTTGGACAGAAATCTTCAGAGTATAGCAGAGGAATAAGCTTCTGAGGAATCAAAAGAGGACATCATTTTCAGTGAGAGACGATTTGTGACTGATACCTTCAGGTAGCATGTCAGGGAAAAAGAAATTCCAAGAAGGACAAGATACATAATTTGTGGGGCTCAAGACAAACTGAAAAATGTGTATCCCTTTATTAAAAAATCATTAAGAATTTCAAGGCAGCAAGATTAATGCATCAAGTCAAACTCCAGGCCTTTCCATGCATAGGACCCTGTACAACAGCATGGGTTGGACACTCATGAAGCAGGCCCTGATTCTAGTTACTGTTTCAGGCATTTCTGTCCCACAGTTACAAAGACTCAATTTAAAAAACAAGCATCAGTCTCAAAGTTCTCAGTGAACCCAGAGTAGGGATGCAGCTGAATTCTGTAACAAGGACTACACAAACCTGCGGTCTGTCAACATATGTGATAGACTGCAACTGGACTGGCTCCTGCTACATTTGTCACACCCGCTAATCCCCACTTCTGTCACAACCTAAGGGTGCCCAGGATACCTGTGTATGGGAGTTAAAATATATTTTCAAAAACCACAAATTTCCCACAAAAAACAACACTAAACCAGCAGAAGTTACTAAAAAGAAGCGGAGTTTCCTGGATCTAAGTCTTATCCCTGATTACTTTCTAGCCTTGCCTTGAGTAGATCTTGGGCATGTACACACAGCTTCAGAAGCAAAAGATGAGGTTCCACAATAACTCTTTTCAATTTGGGAAAAAGTAGAGGAAATAGGAGAACCTGGTCCTAGTCGAGGAGAAACTCCTTTCACTAAGAATTGGCTTGCTCCCTCTTTCTCCTCTTATTATGCTAAGTTGGAACTCTGACTTCATTCCTCATAGAGGCTAAATTTCTCTTTCCTGGATGCTTGGAAAGGCCAAAGGAAAAACTATTAGAGGGTAACACTCATGTCTAAAAATTCCCATTTATTTATCTTCACCTGCCCTCTTCATGTCATTATCATTCCACTGAGTCTGTATGGAGAAAGAAGGGATTAAAGAGGCAAGACCAACATCAAAAGAATAACAGCAGTGCAGAGTAAAATGAATGTGGCCTCTTTCCCAATGATCTTATGGCTTTATGTATACTGAGACTGCTTCTTGTTGTGACACATGAGTAACTTTTAAATATGCCTATTTATATAGGCCTAGACTTAAAATGTTTTTCGTGCATACTTTTGTCCCATTTTCTAAGAAATAAGTACCTAATACAGAGTATCAGTTTCCCTTAAGCCAGAATTATACTTTTGTACTAGAGCAATCACTATGTCCTTGATTTAGCATTTTTAGAAAGGTAAGTATTGGTAAAGCTTATTGTTTGTTTTGCTCAATAGCATTGTACTGCTTTGAGTAGCCAGTAGGATCCTTAAGTATATGGAAATGTGTTTGAATCTCTATTATCATGCTTAGATTTCAAAAAGCCTTCCATTTCACAGAGGTGATAGAGACTCAGTCATCATTTTTCAAGTGTTTTAACAATTGGTAATTAACAGAGGAGGTCTTAAAATACAAAAAAAATTGTAACTGATCTTCACGACAGATGCACGTAGGAAAACTTGATTCATTTATTTTAAAATAATCCTCCCCTGCTCTAATATATACATTTATATATGTGTGCACAATCAGCCTTAGCAATACTGCTGTGAAGCAGATGAAGATGGATGGTTTTCTATTTATTTGACAAACACACTATTACATAGACAGTTTAAGCAATTTGTCCTGTAAGAAAGGGTGGACCTGGGAAAAAAACTTCCCATATCTGCTCTTCTGTTATACTGTTTTGGAATTGGGTAGCCATTATTATTTCTAGTGACTTTGATCTAAATGTTGGACAATGCAATTTTCCCGAAAAAATATTTTAATATTTCTCTCCACTTTACTTTCACTCTCCTCTGAGATCATTATAAACTATTGGTAAATGTGGCTGCTCTGAATTTATACTTGCTCTTCATGAGCTCTGATGGGTTTCAGCACAGGAAAAAAGATCAGGATACATCTCTGAAATGCATGATGATAAATAATGCTGGGACAGTTAGTCTGAGTTAATGTCTTATGAAGTTGATGTCAGTATGATGATGTCTTGGACCCTCTGCTAGCACAAGCTTGTCCACTGGGTCTGAAGTGATCCAGCAAGGGCTTCTCCGAGGCAGATCCTGCTCATCAATACCCACTGTTCTCCTGAGACCTCAGACAAAGGCCAGAGCGTTCTGTTGCACTGTCGAACTGCTTTAACTTGGAAATGTTCTGTACTGTACAATAGGGCTGCACCCTCTTAGTTCCTGTCCTTAAATGGTCTCTCTCCATTCTGGCATGTATTTGCATGTCACTCATGGTGACATATTTGACAAATAATGAGCCCCACTGTTATCTGGTCAGGGAAAGACTATTTTGATATTATTTTAACCCTTATTATCTCTTTTGTCAATTATTTGTCTGACTAAAAAAACAATTCCTAGATTTCTTTCCTGTTATCATGCTTCTTCTTGTCTCCCAAAGACATCTAGTAAATGCTTAGGAAATACAGTTTTTATTTTTAATAAATCCTAAACACAACATATTCATGAAAGAAAACCAGTGGAGAAAAAAATAAGATGAAACTTAACAATACATGTAATAAACTTTTAGTTCTGAATTTTCTTGCTCACTTATTTCTGAATGCAACATTGCCAACACATTAGTTACCTATGCTATTTTTTAAAAATGAAAAGCCAAATTATAAATTTCTTTTCTGATGACAGTTAACTATAATCTGCAGCATGACAGCATTTGAGCAATGTCTGGTCTGTGAAACTGGCTTCCGTGATTCTCATAAAAGAGACTGCACTATCAATACCTTCCACAAAGCTGCTTCTGCTTAGGACCCAGACTCCACTATGAATGCTTCTGTCCCCGTAAGAACCTTGGCTAGCTGACATCTCACCAGGTCCCTGTCTGCAGTTGCCACTCAGACATGTAGAGTGTGTGTTTGGGAACGACATACAGAGGAATAGGAAAGGAAACAGAGCTCTGTCGTACCAGTACATATATTGTAAGGAAGTAGTTACACAGCAACTGCTTTGTTCTTTTATATTCTAAGCAACACACTGGTGAATATATTTCATAATGAACATATTCAACATTTTTCCATCAGTTAAATACATTATTCATAAATATTAGAGATGGAAAAGACTTAGTAGATTACTGAGTACAGACCTCCTCTTTGCACTTTTCTTCCCCAAACTATTGATGCTAGCTCAAAAACCAAAACCAAAACCAAAAAACCACCAGCAGTAATAAAACAAACAGAAAGCACACAAGGAGAGCAACAAATCCATAAGTTTGATAAGTAAAAGGGAAGTTCAGAAGCCCTACTCCAGTGGGAATGGGGAGGGTGTTGCTGTCTTTAGAGAACTCCCTAAAGGCTACTGAGTGTGGCCGGCTGGCTCTTCAGAAAGAAAGCAGGCCAAGTGAGGGGGATGCCAGTTTCCCCCCTTGAGATCACAACTCAAGGTAAAGCCTAGGAGGGAACAATACGTTCTTGGCCAAGTGCTTATTATCAGTCTCTTTAACCTGGCGTGGACTCAGGACTCAGCACTCTTCTTTCCAGTTTGGACTTGAGATACTGATAATAACGATGAAAAGAAAACGTATAAATGAATAGAGAGTTAAAACTACTAGATAATGCTCCCTGGGATTATCTGTACTATCAAGATAGGAAAACTTTGCAGATGCTACTGTCTCTCTAGAGGAATAAATGCTTGCATTTTAATATTCTCAGCAGCTGGTTCCTGTTGAATGCCATCAGGATGATTCAGCCACCCACCAGGAACACCAGTAACAGCAAGTGCACGCACAGAAATCTGCAAAACTTTCTTCTTTTGATGCCAACACTATTACTCTGGCAAAGTCAAAACCCTTTATGGATTTACCAGTTCAACTAAATGTGACCTTGTTCCCCTCACAAATACCAGCTCACTCTCAAATAAACACAACTTCTGGCTGATTAAAATGCAACGTTCTTCCACAGTTGAGTGCACCCTGCAGTGAGTCCCTCCTCTGTGCTGTGTCTACATTCTCTCCCTTTTTCATTTTTTCACTGTTCAATGAAACTTCAAAGGATGAATGAGATCCATATACACTCAGAGTCCACCTTGTATGTTGTCCTGCTTACTGCTGACCACATGCATTTAAAGTTATGCCTCAAGTTGTTTTATTGTTTCTATTTTTAAGAAGTTTTCCATTTCCACAGAATGTGGTAATATGCCTTGAAAAACAGAAATGTGTAGATAAACTGTGCTGACCACAGACTTCATTAATACATGATTTCCATGCCATACTCTAGCCAGTTAAAAATTCTATACCTTCCTCCTTCAAATCTAGACCAGATTACAGACTTAAAGGAAGAAAATGCCAAAGATGACAGCTAGCTATCAAAAATGTTCTAGTGCCTCATTTTCAGGTCTCCAAAGTAAAATCTAAGGGCATTCGACAAAGATTCAGGTGCTCTCAATAGCCATGAAAGTATATGGTTGAAGAGGGAATCTGTAAATGTAATGAATACACAATTGGCTTATAACAGATGCAACCAAAATTAAATTCAAGATCTTGACCTACTCTTCAAAGTGAAAGTTTTTAGTTCATGCTACAGAGAGATATATAATAAGCTCATTAATCACCTAAACTAGAAATACAAGCTGATACTTCTGGGGATCCTTTGAAGAACCATCTTAAGTGGTCTGGGGTCTGAAAGATAATGTGGCACTGACAGTTTACAGTGTGTAACACAACTGTACATGGGTCAGGTTCTGGCTATGACCACCACTATTCCAAATCACCAGGACAGAATTTAAGGACCATTGTGAGGAAGCAATCAGTCAAATATGGACTTGGGTAAAAAGAGTCAACATATTTTTATTCATTTCCTATTATGTAAAATCACTGTGCTTGCTGCATGAATAGATATTGTACTCAACTAGGTCAATCTATGACCTCAAAAATTTATATTAAGGGAAAAGAAGTAGAGGCAGGAGGATATTAAAATGATAGTTTAGTAGTAGAACAACAATGATATTGAGAGACAATCAAGAGCCAGTCATTGCACTAAGAACTTCAAAGGCTTCATTTAATGGAAATCTTACAATCTTTCATCAAGGTAGGTATTATTTTCCTCATTATAGATGTGGAAAGTGAGGCTCAGTACAAGTAAATATATTGGCTAAAATTACATAGAGTTGCTTTTTATATTACAAATGAATACACAAATAGCTAATTGACAACACAGAATATGACAATAATCATTACAAGATAAAGTTAATAGAGAAACACAGAAGATAAAATATGCTTCTTTTTGGGACTATAAGGGGGAAAAGGAACAGGAATAGGTAAATGCAGTGCATGGTTAGGAAACAAGGAATAGTCCCATTTGTAACATGTGTAAGCTTGCTAAATCAGCACTATCTGGTTAGAACTCATACTTTGGTGAGCTAATAAAATACGCTGATTTGTACAGGAAGATTTCTAGAAAGAGGGACTTATTTCCAAGACAAAATCCTGAATACAATTTCTTAAGTTTTTTCTTTTTCTTTCTTCCTTTCCATTACGCTCTCTCTTTCTTTTCATCTCCTTCCTTCTCTCCCTCTCTCTCTTTCTTTTTTTTTTTTTTTGTTGGAGTAAAGGGAAGAAGAAAAATTAAATAGCTATAGGAGCCAGGAGAGTGTGCAAACACCATAAATCCTCTAGGGAGTGCAGGCATCTGGGTGGATTCTTAATCGTTCCTCAGGCTTCCTTGTGCTTCCTACACGTTCCTGCCCTGGCCTCATCTAAGATGAAGTTATTGGTACAGAAATAGGAAACGTAAGGGTTTAGTTCCTTTGTTCTTTTATTCAATTATTCCTGGAACATCATCCATGTTTTAGTTCTCCAAATCTGTTTTGGGGTCAGTCTTATGGTTTAGGAGTACAGCATGGTTATAGAAGTTTTAGTTCTGGTCTCGGTTTTGTCTTTCTCATCTTAAGAAAGTTTTGTCTCTTCTCTGTGTTTTAGTTTTCTTATTGGCAAAATGAGCAGTTAAGCCCAAACAGAATTTCTTAATTTGTTAGGCACCCCAACCCTTTTGATCAAAATAAAACCTTGTATTTCTTCAAATTCTGCTGCCCTTTCTTATTTGGAAACCATGGTTAATGGAAACCAATGTACAGCATCAATGATCTAGATAAATTTGTGTAGCTTTAGTTTCTCTATTTATTAAGCTTTACTTTTAAATTCTATTTTCCAAATACAAACCATTGTAATATATAATCCAATATATACTATTACATATATTTAAAATATATTTTTTATTTCAAATTTGTATCAGCTATTCCAGTACTCTTTCTGGAGTGTTGGTTAATCTACTCACCCATATTGAGATATCTAAGGCTCCTTCAGGCTTTAAGATGCAATGATTATGATTCTATGATGCTGACATTTGCTTTGTTGACATTTAAATCAGAGCTTTTCAACTTCAAACAATAGCATAACAAGTTGCTATAACAGTTACACTTATATGAATCTTTAAGCAGATGTGCATAACAGCTCTTTACAACTATTATCACACTGGACAACTAAAGCTTATGATGTTGTTAAAATTTCCTGCAAAAGTGAATTCTATAGTTAATTATATCCTATATGAAAAAGTACTGAGTTCTTATCCACTTTTAAAATTGATTAGCTCTTCTTTTGCATATTTTCATTTTGCACCCAGGCACAAACTTTAAACAACTCCAATAACTAATCATTAGTCCCCACTTTGTCATGGCTTCTATGTCTCACTCTTTTGACCTTGCTCACCGAGTTCACTCTTCCTGATGTAATCACACATGCTTCATTGTAGTTACATTCGTCACAGTGCTCATTAGAATTATCATCATTCCTACTGCACCTTACTTCAACAAAACTAAATGTGCTTCTGTAATTTGTTATCATTCTAATTTTTTCAGCAAGGTTTTTTTTTTAATCTAGAGACAAAATTTTATTGTGTTTGATCAATAAATACCTTTTCAATCAAATGACTCGGAAAAACTGGTAGACATTCAGTGGAGAAAAATCTTACGCCTGGAGAGATTTTTGTAAATCTAGACAATGGAATTTCACTGGTCTCCAATCCACAGGTTCAAAATTTATTAGTGTCAACTTAATCTTTTAAAGAAATCCATTAAAGCAATGAGTATAAAAATATGCATCATTTATATTTATGTATGAATTGAATTTAATACATTAGTGAAGAATCAATGTCTTTTTAAAGAAATATTAAATTTGATCCACACTGAGCAATTCACTCATATTCTGAGGTAGCCTAGAATATTATTTTGCTGTGGTTAAAATCTTTCTTAAAATAAGAAGACTACACAGACTGTAAAGTGACAAAGTACTTTACTGTACAATCTATTCTTTAATTTTAGTTATTTTAATGGTCATAGTATGTATGAATAAATACCCAATGGCTTAGCTTCAGGAATTTTTGTCTGGCTAAGCTTTGAAAATGCTTAAATAAAGACTTGAATGCTTGGCATTTCATCATTGCTGTTTATGTTATAAGGCTTACAATGCTACCTTATAAAAGATATATTCGTTTATTTTCACATTCAATCAGAAGTGTAGGGTTTCAGGACTGGGACTGGATTACAGACTGTTCTCTCCTGGTTATTTTTGGCTTTAAGTATATTGATCATTTTATCATTTTCTTGTTTTAAACTGCTTTAAACACAGCACAAATGTTATTCTCATCATGCCAGAAATGGTTTTGGAATTGATTTTGAGTTTCCATCAATTTTACTCTTTGCTCTCTGTGAGAAGTTTTTCACTTGCTTAAATGCGAAAGTACAGTTTTGTTCAAAGATTCAACAGCACAACATTTAGAGAGCTTTAGCTGGCCAAGAAAACTCAGATGTTCTACTTTACAAAAGAATAAAAATCATTGCATTTATTACCATGGACTTTGTTGAAATTAGTGAAGAATCATTCATACGAATGCAGTTTCAAGGACTTCCTTCCTGTTTCTCTTCACATAAGTATTCAACAAAAGCATGTATCTTCTGAGAAGGTGGTTTGATTGGTCCAGGTTGGCACTGTTTCAGTGTTTGGCCTACGGCGGCTGCTTAGGAATAATTTCGTCTCATCTCCTCTATTTTCCTGGACCATATCGGACTCAGACATGTGGTGTGCAAAGGAAATCCAAGTCCTTTAAAAATGCTATTTCTTTTGGTACTAAAGCCAAGACCAGTTCTACTTTGGCCAAATGATCTTATCAAGATTTAATAAAAGATATTCAATAATATCTTCAATCTGTGAGATGACATTAGACTAAGGCAGATAATTTATCATATATAGTATACATACTTTGTTTTTTCTGGCACCAGGGAAGGACATTATGAAACTTATTTTATTGGAACTGAAAATACTGTAACATTGAGAATAATTTTTGTGGCAAATATTCATTTTGATTAATTTAAAAATGAATAAGTAGTATTTTCACTTAAAACAGATATTGAAATCTATTTTCAGTAACTGTTGAAATTGTTTTGGCTTCTACAGATGCACTTTGCTAACACAGCTGCTTTGCCCCCCACAGCACTGTCACAATTCAGAATCTGTAACATTTCAGCCAGGTTCTCTAGACTAATTGGATGAAACAATTGCATTACAGTATTAAGATGCCTTTGTAGAATCAAATGAAAGGAGGTCTGTACAGTTCAGATAGCCTGAATAATTTACCACAAATACAACCAAAACCCTGTGTGTGCTATGTATTTTTCTAAATTTATAGTACTAATCGCTTCTTTGATAAATGCTAGGATTTAACTTCACACTTAAGAATATCAACAAACACAGGGAGAATTTTAGATAGATAAACTTCACTTCCCACTGCATCCTTACTGCTGCCAGTAGTTTTGCGCTTCAAACATGCTTCATGTCTTTTGAAAAGTGCCAGGAAATCTTTTTCTCCTGCTCTGTAAACCTGAATTTTACATGTGTAGTATGACACACCTTAAAACAGAGAGTGTCACAAACTGCAGTGGGACATTAATTTAAATACAGACTTAGGGGGAAGAGCTCCATCTACTGAATCAGTTGGATCATAGATTGCACCCTATAGTTATCCCATTCACTACTTTCAACCACTTAACGGCCCTGGAGAGAGAAGTTATAGACCTGAGCATCTATAAAAAATTAGCTAAGAGCTTGATTCTACTTTGGGTATTTCCCAGATAATCTAAGCTGCTTATTTCCCTTGCCCTTCCCAATTAAAAAATAAAAATAAAAACGGTATGCTTTGCTATATGAACCATTTCTTCAAAGACATAGAAAGTCATTGGTTTTCAAAGGAAAAGCCACCGATGAAAGGAAAGCCACAGAAAGAAAATCTGTCTACCTGGCAGGCTGAGTTGAGCAGAAAAGATGCAAAGTGAAGAAGAGTAGCCTACTTACTCCTCCAACCTTGTATCACTGCTGGGGAAGTCTGGTCTTCTGGGATGTCCCTGGCTGCACAGTGTTGTTGTGGCACTGCAAATTTGCTATGGCTTTGTGATATTATGGGGAATATGCTTCAGCAAGCCAAGAAAGTTACAAACAAAATTCAAGAGAGAAAAAAAGTACAAAAACACTTGATCTTATTGGAGAAGCTCTTGGCTTTTTCCTACATATGTCACAGTTTTCTTTGGTGTTTCCTGGTTCTGTGATCAGAAAAATTATCATATCATGTTTATTATTATGTTTTTCAGGGTTGTTGGTGGTACGGTGGGAACAAGTACTCGGGCCAAGGAGAATCAAGATAAAGACTACCTCTCCCACTTGTTAGTAAGCTTTCCAGGTAATCACAGGTTAAAAAGTTTGTTCTTAAGAATACTAAAGACATATAGAAATCATATAAAGGAAAAAATGGCCATACTCTTTCTAGATTAGAAAACTAAAAAACAACACACTAAAAGATACTGAACAAAACAAATTATTTTGAATAAATGTGAATGTTAATATAGCTTCATAAAATGCAGAAGCATGTAAGATTTATGAAAATATTTTATAAATTAAGATAAATTTTAGAATATAAATGGATATTAATAAGCATATATCATATACATATACATACTTAAAACCAGATAGTAGTAACAGTTTATTAGGTTTTTAAATTACAGAAAAATATAATAAATGAACATTTTGCTTTAACAGTAACCCTTTTTTACGTAAAAATAGAACTAATATAAATGTAAAGTGGCTTCATGTTTGTCTTTGTGAATATATATGTATATATATTATATATATATATGCCTGTACAAAGTAGTACTAACTGACATGGAAAGGTGATATGTTGAATGAAAACTAAAACTCTGAGTTATTTGAAATTGATTATTTAAAATATAAGCATTAACCTGGCAGGTTTATTTTTCTTTCTTTTCTTCCTTTTTAAAAACACATTTAATTTTCAGGTTCTATTTTAAAGCACCAAAAGAAAAACAAATTAGAAAAGCATTGCACATCAATAAGTATTTTGTAAAAAACATCATTTGCATTTATTAGAATATTTAGAGCTAAAACAACCTCAACTAATTGGATTTTCTTCAAGCCTTTTCAATACAAGTTCAGTTGTGAGTTAAGAATAACTATGAGAAATTTCACCTCAAAAGGTAATTTGCCTGGATAGTTATAAAGGCCTGAAAAATCAAGATTATTTCCACCATTACTATAACAAAACAGCTAACGAAGAAGTATATTCTGGCAAGAATCAATAAGAATTGCAAAGCCTGAGAGGGTCATCACAGACTTGAGAAAGGTAACTAAGTGAGGAGACATCAAACGGAGCTAATGGAGATAGAGCATTCTGTAAAATGGAAAGTGTTTAACAATCACTGACAGGAAAGGATATATTTCAACAGCGATGACAACAACAAAACAAAACAACCAAGAACAACTGGAAATATATATCTGCAGAAGTAAAGTATGACTACTCGTTAAGCAAGAGGAGAACCTACTTCTTTGTCATTCCCTCTGGATGACTGGCTTAAAGAAAAAAAAAAAGCTTGCACAAAAGATACATGTGTTCCTTTTCTGGTATTATTACAAACCCACCTAGCTTTAGCTTTCGATTCCAGATGAGATCAGGCATGTTCAGACTAGCACATCTTTGCTCTGAAAGCACAGAACTGCTATCATTTCACTGGCAAATTCTCATATCCCTAAATTTATGCACAGTAGATGCCCTTAAAAATCTGCAAATTTTCTGTTTCAGTCAAATACCTCATTGAGTTAAATTTTTAAAAAATTTACTCTGCTAGGAATAAGCCGAAAAGTTAAGGCAGACAACTCCTAGAAGAAAGGAAAGTTGAACAGTACTTACCCTGGGCATAATGTGCAAGCCTTAATGGGGCAATCTACTTTTGTTCTATGATATTTAGAAGGGCATCCAGGTCTGAACTCAGCTTTCACCCTTCTCCCTTCTGGAAAACTGAGTAGACTCACTGAAGGTGCCTCAGAGACAGATCATACAAATCAGCAGCCTCACCTGTGGCCATGCAGAAGACTGCACTTTGGTGTGTGTTTAAAACTATGAATAAAGTCAGAGACAGCGCATGCTCAGCAGGCAATTTAAAAATATTTATAACATTGTTGTTTCAAAAACAAATTTCCTCAAACAAAGCAAAACTCACATTTTTTATCCATGCCAAGTTTAACGTTCTGAGACAAAGCTGTTTTGGAGTTTGCTGTTGGGGGGAAAAGGTTTCTAAAATTTTTTGTTGAACGAAAAATAGCTCTCCCTTCCTTTTTGGATACTCTTAAGGAGGCGGAATAAATCCACCTCCAAGTTTCAACAAAATTCACCATTGGTTACAATAAGGCATTACAAATTTAAGATCTGTAAATAATAATTTCAGAGAAAATAACAAGATATTAAAGCCTATGGGTTAAAGAATGTAGTGACCATTTGAACCTTCAAGGTAGTCTTGTGTGTTGCTATACAAAAACATATACTGATTCAAACAAGACATACAGTATTATGTTAAACATAGTTAAGAATAATGTATATGCAACTATATTCATACCTAGAGAAGTTATGTTTTTCTTTTGTTAAAAAATCTGAACTCTTCAAAACTGAAAAAAAAATCCATCAATATTTTAGGAGAAATAGTAATAATTATCACTATAGTTTATCTTTTTTCACAGCAAACATGGAGAGGAAGGCAGTCACATATCAACTGGTTAAATTTTGAGTTTTAAAAAATAAAAATTTGATTATGGACAGTTTTTAAAGAACTAATTACAGAAGAAATATCTGTGTCATTTCTGCCGGGAATTTTTATTCCTCCTCCATTAGAACCCTAAATATTCCATTTTACATCTATCACTAAACCCTGATCAGCCCCCACAGGTCTCAGAGATCTTATTTAAATCTCTTACTTAAGTCTTCTTAAGTCTCTGAATGAATTTTAGCTCCAGCTCTACTTTCCAGGGGTGTTCATTTGCCTTCCCAAAAGCTGCACAGACACATCGTTCACTATCTCTGATGTTTTAAAGCTCAACAGAGGGTGCCCAAAAAGGAGGGAGGGAG